GTTTTCATAAGTATGAAATAGTATCCATAAGCTATTGGGACGAGTATTATCGCAAATATAACAATGAGAACAGTGAATACGATGTCACCGGTAGTCATATGTCTGACATAGAGTGCCGACACCACTATGCCATTCAAAAACAATAAAGTGGTCACAATTGCGTAAACAAATACGAGACGGAAGTGGCGTTTCTTATGTTTCTTTCCGTGATAAGCAGCCACCCCTACACCCATGAGTGCGATCAGTACAGCCGTTACGCCGAACCCATACAGTGCCCCATAACTCATGGAGAGGTCATCGTATGCCAGTGTCTTCCTCGAGATCATGAAATACATGGCAAATAAGATGGCAATGATGTTGAGCACCAGTAGTGATATTCGGCATATTCTCATCGTTTTCTTGATTTTGCTTAAGATTTTCATGATTTTGTTGTTTAAAACCTTTGGCATAGATATAAAAACATTTTCTAATTATAGACTAATAAGTTATTAATAACATACAGTATTAGATGATTGTACCGGTATAATTTATGGCAAATACGAACTCGTAATGATCACCTAATGATTGCATTAATTGCCATTGTTTTTAAGAAAATAAAAAATAATTTCAAACAAATAAATTCTTGAGAACAACACTATAAAACAATTACACTATTAAACTAATTTATTGCAATCAAAACTTTATGATTGTTATTATAGTCATTAATTAAATAAACCCATAAACGACTAATTACTAGAAACTAACAACTTTTATGAGGGTACATATTTGGTGCTAACAGTTTGTCTGTCAATTGGAAACACTCGTAATCAGTTCATCAAATTTATATTTCATGAAACCTTTGGAATAATTGTTACTAATATCGTAAATAGTTGTAAAAATGTGTGAAATAATGGCTGTGCAATAGGAAAGGGAGGTGAGAGTCGGGAGATTCCGGAATAAATTCGTGTTACATAGGATTTGAGACATAAATAGCTAGTACAGTAATTGAGTGACTTTTATGTAATTCTGTACTTTATTAGAGTTAATGTATACCGTAGTACTTAGTACTGTAGTTTAAAATTATTAAATCGTAAAGTAAATTAAATACACTTACTGTTTGAATTTCAATAGCATTGTAAATATTATAGTGAATTGCATTGTAATTAAGACAATTAAAAAGGGGTTAAAAAATTTAAAAAGTAAATTAAAATTGTTAGCAAAACTTACATAAACTTTAACTCAATGTCTGTCTCTATGTGAATGTTGTCATCAATTGTTTGACTGTTTTGCCGAAATATAACTGCAATTCAATTCAATCTGCAAATTGTTTACTTAATCCAATGTACATCCCGTATATAACAATGTATATAAAAATAAGTCTAAATACGAGATAACAGAGCAACTGATTACATACCACTGCAAATACACCTCTCAATTGTTTGACTGACAGTAAGTGACGACAATATGTCTCACAACANCAATCTGCAAATTGTTTACTTAATCCAATGTACATCCCGTATATAACAATGTATATAAAAATAAGTCTAAATACGAGATAACAGAGCAACTGATTACATACCACTGCAAATACACCTCTCAATTGTTTGACTGACAGTAAGTGACGACAATATGTCTCACAACACATATATACCGGTATTCATACAGGATATGAAGTAAATTTGCTAAAATCACAGCCTATTTACAGATAATTAAAAGTTGAAGGGTAACACAAATAAAGGGTAAACCATGTTATCAATAGACTGTACAAGAGTTACACAACTTTACGATAAATCCAAACAATTTTCATAAAATGATTAACTATTCATAATAAACACTATTTTAATAAATATATATATAATTACAATCAAATCGTGTCACAAATCTAAGACACAATCAAATGACTACAGACTATGACATCGAAAACCCTAAGACATGACCACAACTGCCGGCGCTGTCCGGCACTCAAAACCACTCAATCCTTGAGTTCTTCAGACTTCTCAGACATCGCCTTCTTTTGGACCAAATATTGCTGCCGTTTCTCCTCCTGTTGTCGCTCGAAGTCCTTCCGATATTCCTCGACATTAATGGTGTACTCCTCGGTAGGTCTGCCCACACCGGTCCTAATGATGTGGATGTCCTGCAACTGCATGAGCCGTGCCCTCGCATGCGATGGTGTCTTATCCTCGACGAACAGACCCTTCTCTTTGAGGTGATCCGTAGTCTTCGTGTAATACTTGTAACTAACGATCACTGCGTTGAAGGCGATGAAGATGTAGAGCACCCGTAGCCGCGCCGTCCACTTCAGGGCCACAGCCGGGTCCATGGGATTCATCACTGATCTGAAGAACCTTCTGGCGTGCCATCGGAACCACCACATTGTCCACGGGTGTCACCACTAACTGATCTGCACGATGGGCGCCACACAAATCGCTGGCGATTATCACTGAACGGATCAATTGAGTGCTGTTTTTGTAAACAAAAAAGTTTTTCACCAAAACATGTGTTCATACGTGTGGGCCGTTCACACATTACGTGCCATAATGTGTGCCACAAAATGCACTCAAATGAACTTTTTTATGATAAAAAACTTTTAGTACAATAGTAATATTAATATACTTTTATTACCGTACCTAAATTATCCTGATTAAATTGCTTATGTACAGTTGAAATACTTTAATAATTATTCTACGATATATTTTATGTAGTGAGAA